AGTCAAGCTCTGTTCTTGATCATCCTTAGAAATATCTCTTATGTGTAGATATAAAGTTGATCTTGGCCATGATTATTAAGTATAATTGCACTAATCATAGTATGCTTTGACTTGTAATTAAGAATGACTTAGGAATTATTTCTCTATTATCTACTTAACCATGCTAGTGCCATCCAAAGGAGTACTCGAGTGTTCATTATCATTTATCATTTATCATTCATATTACATTTATCTCTTGATTTACCCCTATTGTGAGTAGAAGATTGGTTATGGTTTATCTCTCCATCATACGTATAAGTTATCAATATATTCCATTTGCCCGTCCTTTTCTGTGGTAAAAATATAAATAACGATACCTAGAATACTCTCAGGTGAAGTGCTATAATGATATATTATCTGTGCGCTTGCAAATCCCTTGTATATATATATTCTTTCTAGTCACAACAAAATATCAAAGTACTTCTTAATGTCATTCTAGTAGTGATGCTAAGAAGTACTAACAAGTATTTCTGTCGCATTTGCCGGAGATATAAATTTGGTGGCGATTATAACAAGTGTCATTAATAAATACCAACAGTCGAGTTCCCCAGCGAGTAAGGGAAATGCTCCTCATTCTTGCTGGGTTGACGGGGAGGAGCGCTCGGCTGCTCCTCTCGGTTGCTCTGTTCTTGTCTGAGCTCTCGCTTGCCCAACCGCCTAGTGAATGGAGGTGGAAGAAAGGATCCCCCCTCTTGCGGGGGCCAACCTTCCCTTTATACTTCGAGGAAGATTAGGTACAATGCGGTTCGGAAGCTACAGTCTATAGCCTTCGTCTAGGAGGGTGTTGCTGCGGCTTGGATGGACCTCGGCTTATTGTGGAGTTGGAGGAGCTACGGGCACCGCCTGACATCTCTGATGTCCTGGCGTCTGACCGGCAGGGGCTGTCTCCTTGAACCGGCCTTCACTAGGTGAGCTTTCTCGAGGCTTCCGTGGCAGTGAAGGCACCTAGCTCGAGGGCTGAAGAGTGGGCCTAGGAGCCCCTACACCCCTAGAGCCTATGGAGGGATTTGTCCCTTTGTGTCAGGCCACCTGCATGACTTTGTTGGAGGAGTGGGTGACAGCGCCGCATGCCTGTTGGTCGGGGCGGCATCAGGGAGCCCCCGAGCCTTGGATGCTCAGCAGGCTAGTCGATGCTCGGGGCATTGTATTCCTACCCAAGCATTGGCTTGGGTTGGGTTGAGCTGAGGATCAAGGTTGAGCTGTCATTGGTCGGGAGCCTAGGGCTCTAGAGAGCCCCTAAGCCCTGAGCAAAGGCCGTGGGCGTGCTTGGGCTCTGCCTGATCCTAGAGGGGTCGGTCGGGGTCTCTCCATTGAGAGTCTTTCTCCTAGGGACTTGACATACCCCTATGTTTGACTCTCATTAATTGCTATAACAATATTCCATGCGCTTGTAGAATTATCTATTTGAGCATAAGAAATATCAACAATCATATTTCTCAATTTCAGATGTAGTTGTTTTCACTGGTGGTGGAGGAGGAGAGATATTGTTGATGATGATGGCGAAGATAGGTCAAAGATGCTGCTAATAAAGGTGGCGGTATAGAACCTTTGCCTCACTTGGACGGAAGACGAAACTTGGTGAATAGCGCTTGAAAGCGATTGCACTAGGCCCTTACCAAAAACCCTTATTTAACCTTTCTCTTTGACACTTCAAAGTTCAAATGGCTTAGATGGACTCTACATGTTGTGTGAACCACACACTACCACCAACCCATAACACTTTCGTCCTCATTTAGTGTAAAAGGGTTAACCTGAGATGGTGGTATAGACTCTAGAAGCCTTATATGTTGGTTTAACCCACCCTCAGCAAATAAGCTACGACTAAAGCCCCCATAATTTCACATCAACACACACACACACGGACCACCATAGGGCCTTACTCAACCAAGGCAGACCTGATGCCCTGATGGCCTTGTCATCTCACCAACACAGCTATGTGTCCAGTGTTAGAACATGTGCCATGCCATGTGCCACACATTGGGCCCACTTGTGCCAAGCTCCCTATGTTCGCATCCTTCACCCACACACATCCATGAAGGTCGGTGACAAGATCCTAACATATGGGTATGTTAAGCATCAGGTCCAGTGGTTCCTGAACGAAGAAGACCCCCAGACCGACCCCTCTAGGATCACCCGGGGGTTTGGGGGCTATACCCATCGGGTACGCTCGTGCGCACCCTCTAGAGAAGAAGCCCACCCAAGCCTGACTCCGCCACGACTTCCGCTTGGGGCTTGGGGGCTTATCTGAGCCCCGAGGCTCTTGATCTATGACAACACTTTGGCTCGGCCCTTGGCTCCTGCCCCGCCAATGACGCCAGCCAAGGCCCAGGTGTAAGAAGACACGCCCCAAGGTACTGAGGCTCGGGGGCTCCCCGGCGCTGCCCCTAGGGCACGACATTGCTGGCCACTTTCCCGACAAGGTCACACACGGGGCGTGACATAAGAAGACAAAGCTTCCCAGCGGCCTCTGGGTGCTCGGAGGCCCCCGGGCCCATGCGTTAGCCCCTGAAGCCGACCTCCTTCACCGCCAAGAAGACTCCAGAAGGTCCACCTGGGGGAGGCCGGTCCAAGCCGACACAGTCTGACACACTGAGTGTCAGAACAGAGCGACCGGATGGTGCCTAAGGCTTCTTTGGCTCCACGACACCGCCACGGTCCACAGCGCATCGCTGCAAGGCCCTCCTGGACTCTGGCCATGTAGACCATAGACTAGTTCCCCCCAACCGCCATGTACCCGACCTATCTCGTTATATAAGGGATAAGGTCGAACCTAGGGGGGACAATGAGGATGATCAGGAGAAGACAGATCATTCTACTCCATTCCATTCCTTGGCCTCCACTCAACACTGAGAGCAAGGCAACCCACCGAGGGGCACCAAGAGCTCCTCCACCGCATCCCATCGTCTTCCTCCTCTCCGACGAGGGGAAGGCACCACCGGCGGCGAGGCAACCTTAGGATTAGCACCGAGCTAACCCCCTACCAAATCTCTCTACAACCCTATTGTAACCCCCAATTTTGGGTGCTTTTGAGGTAACGATCATCAGCTGCTAGACGTAGGGCATCAATTGGCCCGAACCAGGATAAACCGTTGCGTCCTCTCTGTGATTCTTGTGTTCTTGAGTCCACCCGAGCCACTGGTGACCCGTGCTCTGGCACCGACTTGAACAACAATGCTTGCTGCGGTTCCGACCCCACGATAGTCGGCTTTGATACCATTTGCTACACCACAAAGTCCAAAAGGCTTAGACCCACTTTGTAGGTTGTGTGAACCACATACTACCACCAACTCACTTACACTTTAATCCTTGCATAATATAAAATGGTTGATCCATGGATAGTGGTATGGACTGTAGAAACCTTATATATTGGTCGAACTCGCCCGCAACAACCAAGGTAGTTGTAGCACCTGATCCCCTCACCACCCCCGCACAACAAATGGATCACCACGAGCCTATTTCACACTAGGTCAGATGTCACACTCCTAGTGCATGATGGCAAGGGTGGCATATTCTAGAGGCCTGCTCTAACGATCTATGATGCACAAAGGCGCTCGGGGTGGAGAGACTATGATGGCAACGTAGCAGCCAAAAGAGGCAAACCCTATGTTGAACATATTGATTTTTTGTGGTGTACAATAGGTCATTTATATAATCTAAATTGATTAGGTTTCCAAATGTAAGACTTAAAATCCAATCAATCAAAAAATAAAACTACAAAAGGAGGCCACACTACCACACGGTCTAGGTCCGAATTTCGACAGACCATTCACGCAAGTGTCATGCCCTTCGCCCCCACCTCTAGCTTGGCGAGCAAGCAGGCACATGTGGAGTTCCATTCTCTTCCTCCACACACGTGGCTTTCATATTTAAACATGCCATCCTCCACTTCAACTAGCAAGTGGGGACTAAAGTTCCACACCATACTACACTTTTAACAAATGAATGGGCCCTTGAGATTTATTTGGAATAATTTGAGTTTTCAATTGGGCCAAGTCCATTTATTCCAATAGCCCGTGCATGCTTGCATGGAGCCATTGTGAATTATTTCCTTCTTTTTATTGAAGTTTCTATATTTTTCATATATATGGATTCAGATAGAGATAACATTATGTAAAAACTTTAGATCTCCACAAGATCTACACCTTACTAGAAGATATATTATTTTCTCATATTGTAAATTTTTTATACTCAAATAATCGGCCAAAGGTTACACAACATGGACCGAAAGGATAAAATATTGCAATGCTACGTGCAGTCAGTATTTGTGGGGTGGCAAAAGAGGTTATGTGCGAGGCCTCACATTGCAGGTTTGGCTAAAATATGAATGATAAGTTTGTGAGAAATTGTATTCCTATGCCTGATAAAACATGTGAGCCTAGAGGTGTGGCTTGAGTCTAAAAATATATATTTTATTTTTTTAGGAGAACAAATGTGGGCTTTCTGTCCAATAATTCGTGGTGGCTCAAAATACCATCTGGTGTGAATACTTATTATCCTTGTTAGTTGTGAAGCTCGTGGAGATACTTAGAAGCAGAGTTATGGGTTAGCCTTGATAAGGCACTCTATAGTAGAGACGCATGGGTAGAACTAGTGGAACCCTTCTCCCCCTATAACCAAAACCAGATCCTTTCCTCACTTTTTACAGACACATAGTTAAAATATTGATAAGAAACCATCATATTCTTTGACAAAATTTAACCAATTTCTCATGACAAGTCATGATATGATCCATTATCATATTAAGCTTATAAGATAACATACATCATATGGATCAAAGATACACACAACTTTTAGAAGAAAAAAAAACACAAATTGTCTAATTAAAGCTGAAGCAAATTACACATAATTGATGAAATAAAAGAAGACCATGAAAGGACTTCTTAGAATAATTCATAGATAATTGAAAATAGAACCCTATAGTGAGTTCTTTTGTTCCTGTATTCCTTTTCCTCATTAGCTTATCAAATGTAGCTCAAAATACGGGGCACGTCAACAGCTTTGATAGGCTTTATGATATACTCCTTTGCCCCTGCATCCAGGCACCTGCATATGACATAAATTAAGTATATGGATGATACTGGTGTATATAATGCAACTGCTTGATTGATTTAAGCTTCACTCACTTTTGCATCCTTTCAGGGATGTTGTCACTAGACATGATCACCACAGGGATATGCTTCAACTTTGGTGATTCCTAAGTGGGTGTAAAAATTCAGTTAATAACTGATAAGGTTTCTATATATTTCGAGACAGAAACATAAAACATTCAACACAACATATATCATGAAACTATACAACCATGGATATTATAAGTTATTTTTCTTTAAGAAAAGAGTCTACCTTCACCTCCTTCAGAAGATCATACCCAGTCATACCAGGCATACAATAATCGGTTAGAATCAGCTTTACATCATTCTCCTGTATACAAATGTTATGTTGAAAACATGTCAAACATACTATGTAACCAAATGAACTAAATTATGTGCATTCCTATTAATATTAGTTATATAAACTATTGATATACCACGTCTAGAAAATCCAAGGCTTGCTTTGGGCCCTCCACAATTGTCACTACACAATAATAATATTATTTAAAAGGGAAAAATTTTAAATCAAAGAAATTGAGTGAAAGCATAGAAAACTCAAGCCATTATACCTTGAATGTTACAACTCTTTAAGACTCGAGATGCCACAAGGCGATCAACAAAGGTGTCATCAACTATGAGTACATGTGGAGCAACAGTGTCCATGATACTCTCTTGCAACTTCCTTTTGCTTCCTTTGAGGACAACCTTGCAAACCTTTGATACTGGATTGTTTGTATTGCGATGTTGGTGATGGAATGAACCCAAAGTGGACCTCTTTATATAGAAATTTGTGGGTATACTATTGGTATATTTAATATATTATCAAATACTTGCTGGCTACTATCTATAGCCTTAAGATAGAAAATCATAAGTTGTAGCTATATTGATGATATCTTTCAAATAAACGACAAGTTTGCAATTATACAAATGATATCCTTAAGATACGGAATACATCAGTAGGTATACTGATACTATCCTTAATGTAGAGAAAATAGTAAATAATAGTAGGATATAACTATCATATCTTTTAACATGAGTGAGTACATCCTTCGGATATAGAGCGTATCTGAGGTGGACCCTAGCTATATTTTTAATCATAAAAGCATTGCATTTGCATGTTTTGACTCTGCATGAACTAAGAATCATTCAGGATACGTTTGATTCGCTTGATGAGTACTATACAACCTTGCTGGGTCAAAAACCAAAAGGACGTGGTCGTTTTGTTGCTTAGTTAGGCTTTCTTAGGACCTAAGCTAACGAGCTTTTTCCTTACTTCCACAGGCAAACAAATTCGGCTCGCCAGCGCCAGCAAGGTAAGCTTGCTCTAGCCAGCGAGGTGAGCTATGCTCGCTTGGGAACCAAATTTGCCCTTAATTCCAGGAGCACCAATGGTAAGCAGATCATAGGCATAGCATTTGGAGGGTTTTAACACTCTCATAATGCTACATCATGTTAACGACTTGAATTTCTCACATGAAACATGGAATTTATTAAGTTGGCTACAAAAATACCGATTGTGCTAACTCATTGGTAAGTATAATATTAGATGCATGTTTCCTATTTATAAGCATGGTCGCATGATTGAATGTAGGCTAATATGTACACAAATTAGAAATTAACAACTATCACAACTCTAGAAGTGAGCTTCACTCCTGGCCCATCAAAAATAGGTTGGCGAGAAACCCAGAGTAGTGGTGGATGACAACTAGTTATGTGTCTCCAAGGACAAAAGAGTCATAGAGACATAGTGGTTGATGGTCATAACTGGAGATTTGCTTCAAACAGCAACACAACTAGTTGGAGTCACTAACACTAGTCTAGATTATCACATAGATTATGAAATGTTCTCATTATAGAAGACACAAAGTTCGCCATAACACTCTTGTGACAAAAATAGACCTAAAAGAGGTTGAAAGGTTCCTGTCATCACCCAAGAGGAGGTGCGAGGTAAATTGGGTGCCTAATTGAAAACCTTAAAACTAGGGATCAAATAAAACTACCACTAGAAAAAACATAAACTAGCTCTAGCATGATGTGCACTTACGGTTTTCATAGTGTGCCCTAACTTATCCTCAAACCCATACCTAATTTTGCATCCTAGATCCAATCCTATCATCGGTATTCACACAAAATTGTAAATGAATCCGAGTCTTCATGCCGTGACGGGACATGGACTACATATGCGGACTGCAGCCGTGTACGTATGTCGTAGGGAGCGCACTGGGCTTGCTATTATTTAGCGGGTCAGGCCGGGCCGCCCAAAGGGCCTCGGGAGCAGCCCAAGCACGACCTACTCTGCTGGGCTGGGCTGGCACGGGCACGCTGGCCACCTGGACAGGCCAGGCCAAAAAAAACTTAAGCTTTGGACCGAGCTATCAGGTTGTGAGTTGCATGGCTATCTATAGCTCTAGTCCCCAGGCGCAGCCGCGTAGGACCCGATGCCGATGCAAGCCGAAGGGTCGAGGCCAGGAGGAGATGCATCTTCTAGCTGCCTCTATCCTCTTGTTGAAGCCGAGCAAAGCTATCTGCAAGGCGCTTTTCTTCACGTGCACACGGCCTCCGGTGCTTCCTCTCCCTTTCCAACCACACAACCATTTTGAGTCCCTCTTCACCAATCATTTTGTACTGACCTCCGGTTTGTCGCTCGTCTCTTTAGACTGCGATTTACATAGACCTTCGAATAGACGTATCTTGTGAGTTGTGACTCCACCTCTTAAAATATTGTTCATGTGTCTCTTAGAGTAACTCCAGCAGGCACCTTACTTACCCCTCATCCTACATTTGAGGGCTGAAGTAAAAAAAAATACTACAGCAGGGCCTCTGCTAGAGTCCTCAGATTTGAGGAGCCCTCAAATCTTTCCTCCGGCCCTCAGTCCTAGTGGCTCTAGCCCATGCCCTCAAATCACAGTTAGCGCTGGTTTCCGTCGCGCGGGCTTTCTTCCCGCTCGCGCTGCTTCCTCCCCGTCGACATGGCGTCCGCATCTTCCTCCACCTCACGCGCGGAGCTTCCTCTCCCCTGCATCTAGCTCGCGCGCAGCCCCCGTCCTCCCGTGAGCAGGAAGGAAGACGGCGCCGCTGGATCCGCTAGAACTGACCGGCACCGCTAGGTTCTTTCCTCTCCCCGGCTGCTTCCGCTCCCGGCCGGCTCCCTCCCCTCCCCTGCAGCTGTGCTTGCGGGCGGGCCCCTTCCCCGTCTGCCGCGCACTCTAGATCTACGGGAAGGGACCGACGCTGCATCTCTACAAGGTCACGACCGGCGCTGCATCTCTGCATCTCACGAACGGCCCTGCCATCCCCGTCCGTGCGCTCAGCAGGAGCAACACCACCAGCGGACGTGACCCTGCTCCATCCTCTCCAAGGTAACAGGCATGCTCCATCTTTTCTTACTTTATTCAGAAATGTCATGCTGTAGCAGTAGTAGCAGTACATATAATTTAGTAGTAGTCTTCCGGGTGTCTTCTGAAGTTTTTGAAGATCCTTGTAGCATATGTGACTCGTTCAGACCCAGCCTTTGGGATAATATGATGCATAAACGTAAACCGTACTGTACTGTATATGTGATTCAAATTGATATGTATATGTGCTGTTTTTTTTTTTTTGCACAGTTTAGAATATGTCGCAGGGAGGTAATTGGTCACGGATGATGTCTGACGATGTTGACGTTGATGACATTGCAATTTTACCCATGGGTACCCAGCCTAGTCAACCTAATGCTGTAAAGAGGAGGCCAATCTGTGCTGCCAACTACACTCCAGAGGAAGATCTCCAATTATGTGAATCATGGGAGAACATAAGTTTGATCCTATCACTGGAAATGAGCAACCTAGCAAAGCGTATTGGAAGCGAATTCATGAAAACTTTCATGCCAACAAAAAAATTGTATCCGATAGGAATGCAATTTCTTTGGAGCATAGATGGGGGATAATTCACAAGGAATGTCAGAAGTTTCAAGGCTTATTTGAGGAGGTTGAGCACCGCCATCCTAGTGGTGTGCCCTACCAGGAACATGGAAGAATTGCTTTTATTAAGATGTTGCATCATTTATTTAATAATTTTTGCTAACACATGTCTTCCAATTTAGTTGCTAGAAGCTCAAACAGCATATATAGAAAAAGATCCAAAGAAGAAGGGGTTTCCTTTCCTCCATTGTTGGTTGAAGCTCAAACCCCTGACTCTTCCATGCCTAGTGGTAAAAGGCCTATGGGGAGGAAGCAAGCAAAGGAGAAGCTGAAGAAAGGAGGAGAACCAATAAATTATAACTTGATAGAGAAATTTCTTAAGATCATCTCCAGCAGTTCCCCAATACCCCCCTATCCATATAAAACTGTCATATTGGGTCCCTAATATCTCTCCCTTTTTTTGGTGGCCACCAATATTTTGCTCATCTCCCATCAAAGAAAGGGGGAGATACAACTCCCTTAATACCATGGGGACCATCTCAACTACCACTTTTCAGCCATATTTTCTCTTACACATTTGTGGGACCCACCTTTCATATGGGTATTGGGGGAGATATATTGGGGTACTGCTACAACATCGCCTCCGATAAATCTAGAAAGTGATATTGGACTATCCCAATACCATCTTATTGGGGGAGTTGTATTGGGGGACTGCTGGATATGCTCTAAAGAGAAATAATGTGTGCGACAGGATAGGTGGATTGAGAGCAAGGTGTTGCATGAGTGCAAATTATCACTTGAAGAGCGCAAGATTGCAAATGAGGAGAAGAAGACCCTATGGGAGCAAGAACAAAAGGTTATGTTTTGTGACCTCGACACATTGGACCCCTCCCAAAAGACATATGTGATAGCAATGAGGGCTCAGATTGTAGCTGAAAAGATGGCGGCGTTCAACAACGCTTTCGGTGGTAGCAGTGGAGGACATGAAGCTAGTGGCCGAGGAGAAATTTGATATTCATTGTTATGTTTTGGTTTAGGACTATGTGTCTTTTCATTTGATAATGATGTCGTGAACTATTACTATGTGTCTTTTGATTTGTGATCGAAATTTAAATTTGAATATTCGTATTTTCAATCATATTTTTAAATATGGTGCTTTAGAGTTGCAGTTTAAATAATTTATTATATAGTGTGATGTTCTCAAATACATATGCATCTAGTGCATGAGAAAATAGAAGCAATTGAGAAGTAGGGGCCTTGTTTTGGGGCTGTTGGAGTTCAGTCTAGAAAACAGAGCTCTCAAAAGTAGGAGCAACCCTCAAATGAAAAGTAGGAGCCATGTTTTGAGAGCTATTGCTGGAGTTGCTCTTATAAATATACTACTAGATCATTTTTGGGACAGTAAAAAGGCCTTAGCGCTTGCTAGGTAGGAAGCTAGTTAGCATTTCCTCTGAAAATGCTAATCAATTTAAATGAAATAGAATAAATGGAAGTAGATGATCCTGGAAGCAACATATGTAGACCTTTCATATACAGCGCTGACAGCTAGAACTTGTGAAGTAGTGATGTAAACATCTAAAACAAAACCATCAGAAGAACTACAACAACGTGACGTCGTCAAAAGTGAAAACTACTTACCATTTTCCTTACCTTTGGCATAAAAATCTCCTGTTCCGCAAAACCTGAAAACTGATCGAAGCTGATTTCGCAGCCGGTGGTGGCCCAAACGCGCCATGAGACGCGAATGGGCCTGAACTCACGTAC